GTAAATTAAGGCTTATTAGGGTTCAGGGCGATACTGGAGGAAGCGGAAGGTGGTTTTGGTCCTACTTAATAATAGCAATCAGTTAGTTCCTGTTTTTTGTTTAGGTAGCTAACAGCTAGTTGCACAACCGTCCATTAAAATTTTCATTAGTTTAAAGGGACATTACCCATACAAATTTGACATTCATTAGACCTTAAAGGTGTCATTAAACATTAATAGACGTTTGTGCAACTGACCGTAAGTGTAACGGCGGAAATTCTTCTAGTAATCCACGGAAGATTTAATCTGCCATATGTTATCTGTGGTATCATAGATCGTTGGTTAACAAAAATGGCATGAATTCCCTAAACATTTCCTAATAGATAGTGTGAGTTATGTTAATTATAATCAAACTGAAGTCTCCTATGAGATAGCTAAGTTAGGTCTTAGTTCGAACTTGGCTAATCTGATAGGTAACTGGCGTTTGCATGGGGATGATTAGTGTGAAGAAGTGGGCTAAAGCAAATAGCTAATCAGAAAGATATTAAGTCCAAATAAATTGAAACTGAGAAACTGATGGCGGCATTGGTAAGCGCGCTCTATCTGTTAAGCAACTTTCACAAGAGCCGTTTATAAGATGGGTGACCAAAATATATTATTTAATATATTTTTTTCTTTTGCTCCTCTATGCTTCGGAAGGCAAGTTAAGCTGTTGGTCTCTGAATCAAATCGAATACGGAGAATGGGCCATGATCCACCCCTCGGGCCCAATTAACTACTGCAGGTGCATCCGGGTCTTAACAGCTTAACGTGTCTTCTGAATCACGAGTTCCGAGTTCGAGATAATAATTTTTTGGTCACCCATCCTATAACCGGCCATTGCGAAAGTTATTTAACAACCGTATCTCAGATCGACCACTCTAGACACTGAGCCATAGAGCTCCTCGATGATGTTAGGTTTAGTTTCGCTGAAAGCAGAATTTTGACCTACGGGGTATTGAACGCGGCACTTCAGAGATTGACAACATGAGATCCAAAATATGAGCCACTCGATCACGGAGGTCGACCGAAGGCGATACATACTTATTACATTTAAAAATCATTATAATTTAAATTAATAACTTATTAATTATGATAACTAATTATTACTTAATCATTATTTTTCTTTAACACATTGAGCCTTGTTGTGGTAACCCTAAAAACTTTCATTCGACTGCCTCGACAACGTTCTACAAGAATAAAATAAAATATAAACCAATGAAATCGAACGACGAACGATAAAATTTTATTAAAAAACTCCGTAATGTCACTTGCAAACGTTATTAGTTTATTCGTATAGGGTTGTCACCAAACTGTTTTACGATAGATCGATTGGATGTATTGAGTTGCAGCTTGTTCTGTTTTCATTTTGTTTTACTTTAATATCTCATCAGTAGTGTTCTCATTTCATACTCTCGTAAAATAAGCCGAGTACCGAAAGTCAGTCAATTATGGTCAGCCTCTTTTGTCGCTCACTCGCGGGTTTCCGGGCTTCAAAATTTCGCAATAGATCAATTCTGTTAATGTATACGTAATAATCGCATCTCAATAGTATCTCAACTACTTGCATTTTGCCATTGTACTCTCTACCTTATGTCCAATATTATTATATATCTGTGACCATCGATGTGTGAGGAAGACACTGCACTAATAATATTGGACTTAAGGTAGATAATACAATTGTAAAATGCAAATCTTTGAGGTTTTATTGAGATGCAATAAAAATGTAAACATTAACAGAAAGAGTCTGCTAATTGTGTGGTTTGTTGTTTCAAAATTCCATAACGCATGGCTTTTGGCTGTTTTGTCATTATAAACAAAATACTATCTTATAAAATTTAACATCCTGCTGAGGACAAATGTCCAAAATTAGATCCAAGCTACCACCCTCTCAGAATCCGGGCGACTACTATTCTCGTCACAGCTGTAACCTTTTTTTCTATAAGATAATCAACCACATACTATATAATTTGTAAAAATCGTCGATGCTTACCATTTAACGGTGCCTTGAAGTGGCAACCCTTGGTGTTTGTAAGAGGTCTGGATTTTCAATTTCAACAAGTGGTCTGTAGAATATTGCGAGGCACGTGCATATTACAATGTAGTCAAACACAAGTATTCACTTTGTGACATAAAAATATTATTTATTACTGTTTATGACTAGTGTGAAGTGTTGTATTTGTATATAGTTTATTATTCATTTTGTATTTTGACGTTTTGTGTTGGTAGTTTTAGTATATAAATACGAGTACACAAAGTTGTTTTTAAAACGTAATTATGAGCGGGTTCTGGAACATATATAATTATTTAAAAAAATAAAAACATTGTATTTTTATATAAACATACGAACAGTATTGCAATTTGTACTTTTTAAATTTTTTTATCTTTCTGATGCTCCGTCGATAGTGAACTGGAATTTTGGTTATATATTTTTATAATAAACTTCATATTTTTTTTAGTTCAAAAATTGATTATTATTTTTTGTCTGCGTAGAAATATAAGAAATAAATATAATGTGGAGACTTCTGAACACAAATTTTTTGTTTCGGATCATTTTATTTTGTGATCATGTTTACCGAAGTATGAGATATAATTAAATGCGTTGTCCTCGTTTTCGCGCCTTTGTTTTTACTCTCGGGAGTAAGAAAACGAGATTATTAGTAATTTTTTTTTTTCCTTTCGAAACAACAAAAAAAAAATTTTTTTTTTTACTAATTATGATAAAAAACAAAGTGGTGTATAATGTTGTTTTCTACGATTAAACCGTATAATAAATTAGAGGATTTTAAATAAAAAAATCTTTGAAAACATTCACACCTTCTCCGCCCTGTTAGAAATTATTTATGCCAAATTATTTTCCGCTATCGGCTTCACCTGCGTGATCCGGTATTACATATACTCGTATAAAGCTCCCTCTTGATTACTCTATGTATTGATTAAAACCGCATTAAACTCCTTTGTGTAGTTAAAAAGATCTCCTCAGACAGACATTTTTTTTAAATCAAGTAAAGAAACTGTTTTACCATAAAAATGGTAATACTTTATTTGTGATGCCATTTTTGAACAGTACCTGAACTTATCAAATTAAATGTAATAACGTAGTGCAACAATTGGCGGTCTTATGGCTAAAAGTTAAATTTCTACCAGACAACTTTTGGATCGAGAAAAGTGAATGCCGGTTTTAAAAAATGGGATGTAGACTATAATTTTTTTTTTAATAAATGGAACCCTAAACTTCAATTGCATTTTCTTGAATAAGTAGCTTTTGAGATAAGTATTATTTATCATTTTTTTAAGTTTGAAGTCCATTTTTTTAAGTTTTTATTTAATGCTTTTAATGATTTTAATTTTTTTAATAATAGGTAACACTAAAAATAGTAAGTATTCATATAAATAAAAATATACAACATCTGAAAGTCGAACATAGGTATAACCTCCTCATTTTGGATTTTCAAGTCAAATTCCAAGAAAAATAATTGACATTCAGTAAAAATCAGCGTGGAGGGTCATGGCCCATCCTCCTTAACCATCCATAAGGAAGGCCTGAGCCCCTGCAGTGGGGACGTAAAAGGGCTGGTGATGAAAAATAATAAGATACATAAATATAGATAATAATTACATAAATACAAATATTATATATGATTAGCTTTATTGGTTTATTTGATAAAAAAGGAATTAATAACAGAACAAATATTACGTGACTCTCGGTCAGTTGCACAAACGTCCATTATGACGCCTTTAAGCTCTAATGAATGTCATATTTGTATGCGTAATGTCGCTTTAAAATAAATAAAATTTTAATGGACATTTCAGCAACTAGCTCTCTATTATGTGAACGTCCGTCCTATTCTGTGATCACAGCAAAGGAAGTCCAACGATGCTCAAGCGCAAGCTTTTATGTCCTTCCACCGCTACTTACCTCCCCACTTTGACGTCACCACGGTTCCCTTTTTAGATGGACTCTGCTAACTATATTATACATACAAAAATAATGACTTCTGATACATACTAATAATATACTTTAGTGAATTATTGTATGGGCTGTACCTGTACAACTTCTTCCAGTTGCACAAACGTCCATTAAAATTTAATGACGACTTTAAGCTCTATGAATGTTCTAAATTTGTAATTTTATATAGGTAATGTCACTTTAAAGTAATTTTACTCTAATGGTCGTTTTGCAACTGGCTGTTAATATTATAAAGAACCAGTTTGTAAATAAAGATATCATTAACACCGTTACCTACCCTTTTAGCTTATTAGTTGTAGACTAGAGAATGGTCGATCTTCATTAGAGCCAAGATGATGTCGTGAAACAATAATCCATCATTCTATTGGGGAAGTGTCATTTTAACATTATTACTGTGAAGCGTGAATTCGAATTTTCTATCTACTTAACATGCAATATGATTATGATATAATACGTTAGAGTACTGATATGTAGACAAGCGTTCGTTAATGCTAAATACACTCACAAGTAATTGCGTTAGTTGCGTGTTATCGAAACTGTTATATCGTATTATTACAGTAATGTCTGCGCATGTGTATAATATAATACTAGCTGTTCTCCCGCGACTTCGCCTGCGCAAATTATTGCCTGAGTATATAAAGCTTCCCGTATGTGAATGTCTTCAATGCCAATAAACAAACAACCAAGTCTTTTCTTTGTACTATTAAGTATTTATATCACGATATGCTATTTGATCATTTTACTTTGCAAGTGCTATAATAGATCACGTGTTTTATGTTTCCGTCAGTTTTCAGAAATCCAAGGGCCACACTGGTTTTGTCCGCGTCTTAAAAAATTGACTATTGTCAATCTTTGAAAATAGTCAAATATTTTCGGAGGATCAGTGTAGGCCTACGGAGTTGTAGCAAAAATAAAAACTGTCAGTTTGATATGTGTCATTTGACAGTTGAAAATATCGATAAGATGCTATCTCAACAAAGTTTTTTAATAACACCTTTTGTTTTGTTTCAGGATGTCATACACACAATTAGCACACCCCACGGTCAAGTACACAGGATCGTGGTGTTCAAGAAAAATGGCGTCCAAGCGATGGTTGAATATCCTTTTCAATAGATTATAAAGCTGCTATCATAATAGCGTATCAATCTGAACTTAAGATGGCGGTATTCCGCAGTCAGTTGCACTTACGTCCATTAAGGATTTAATAAATATATATTAAACGACATCACAGACATTGCTCAAATTCCAAGATGTGTAGCTAAAGCCTCCTTATTATGGAATATCTGAGACAATGAGGGGATTAACACGGGAATCGAACCCCAGACCTCAAAGATAGCGACACCTTGAAACCGGCGTGCGAACCGCTCACCTACGAAGGTCTTCGACTTAAACCACTAACGAATGTTCTACATTTTGAAAACTTTTATTGGCAACGTCATTAAACTAATGATAATTATAATGGACCTTTTTTATAAACGACTGAAATTAATTTCCTAATTTCGTTTGGTGATTTCGATGAGTATTAACTATAATTTTCATTCTAATTTTTTTACTTGGAATTTTTATGAACGCCCGTTGTGGATTCGAATCTTATCTCGTACACTTGGGATTTTAATAAAGAAACTGAAATCTATTTCTGTCTCACTGCTTATTCTATTGTTTATACATGCGGAAAATTGCCGGCATCCTTATTTAGACAGCCATTTTCCCGGAGTTTTCCTAAGGAAAAAGGTAATGACACTCGCCCACCTATTTGGTATTCTAACGACAGTAATAGTCCTCTGATATTGAATTGCTTTAGAGCTGCGCTTTTTATAAGCAAACGTAGTGAGTTATTAATAAATAACCAGTTTAGACTGAAATATTTTGCACTCACTTAATTTTTATTGAATTGAGTACGCCTTTTGTCCTTGTTGCTCAATAGCGTGAAATGGGTTTATTCCCTTGCTAAACTAGATTTCATATTATTGATATACATATTGAATTCGTTGTTGCTATTTTTGTGTCTTTAAACTCTGCCCGTATTGGAGAGAGAAACAAGCAATATATGGACAATTATTTCTCTATAATTATCTATGGACAGAGTTTAATACTTATATTACTTTTTCACCAAAAGTGAGGCTATAAGATACTGATCTTTTAATACACGTAAACGCGAATCTTTCTCTCTTTCTGTGTGTGGGCGTGTAACGGAATAGAGTCCCATTTTGAAAGTAAACCCCGCCATCTCGTCTTGTGTTACTTAGGCTTAAAATTTGTTACATTACTTTTTACTTAACACTTGATAGCTTTTGATCTAACGTTGATCTCATCTAGTTTGGCAAGTTAATGGAAATAAAAAACAAAAATACAAAAGTAATGGATTCTGATCTTACTTTGATGTAATTATATTTTTAGAAAGTAGGTTTTTCAACAGAGGAACAGATTTTTATTTAAAATTCTTACAGAAAACTGCACAAATTTCATTGCGACATTACCGACACAAGAATTTGTCATATGAAAGATACTCACGAACTTCACACTAAAACTCTTTGCCCTGTGATAGCGTTTGCGCTCGTAACGTTTTTAAAAAGAAATAAATTATAATATTGCTAATTTGGCGTTAATTAGTAACAAGCGTTAGACACAAATAATACTTTTAAATTACTAAGTTTTACCTGTTTCTTGATCATTCAAATCATAATTAGTTCTGAAAGAAATTGCGGCTTTAAACGTTACATAATTTCATAAATCACTATTACAATCGCTATACCTTAGAAAGTGACTCGATAGATATTGAGGTTAGACAATTTGACCACAGAGCAAAAGTAGTACGAATCGGGAGTTAGTTCTTAGCCATGTTAATAGAAGTTAAATTCAATTCAAGTATTTTTTATTTGTTAAAATAAAATATTTGGCACCTTTATATTGCAAACATTTATCGTAGTAAGTTACTATACCAATAGTACATAGCTCAAAGGTGACTAATCGACTATCTTTATAATAAGATCAATATTATAGAAAGTTATAACATCAATTTTATAAATATAAGAAAATGAGAAAACCACAACTGAAATAATTATAATGAGATCAATATAAAAGAAAGTTATAAGATCACTTTTATAAAAATGAAATGATGAGAAAACCAAAAATAAATTCTTAGAAAGTAAATTAATACTGCGTACCTAGTAGGTACTACCTACCATATTAAAGTGTAAACATTACATTACACGAGCAAACACAGTGAAAATTAGAGGAACTTGAAAAATATATTAATTATAAAGATCCGTATCCGTATCCGCGGATCTTGACACCAAATATCCGTATTCGGATCCGTATCCGCGGATATACATTTTTAATGATCCGGCACATCACTAATTTTGACTTGATATAACATAATTTGCTTTCAGTGTGGCTTCGCCCGCCTTACATGATTTTCAACACACGTTGGTACAAGTATTTACTCATTTATATTCCGTAGCCCAAAATAAAGTTTCGTGTTTCTAATTTCAAGATTAACCCCGTTACCGGTAAATTTCAACAGTCTGTGAAAAAGGTATTAACTTATTTAGATTGGTAGTCTAAAATAAAATTTCATGTTTCTAACTTCAAATCTAACGTACTTCTATACAAACCTTCAACCTCTATTCCACCCCATTAGGGGTTCAATTACAACAACCAAAGATCGTGAGTCTTAAACAGTTTACGCTCGGCGATGATGAAACAGACATTGAAACGAAAAGTTTTTTTATAAGAGTAGATGTAGTTCAGCGAATGTATACATTTTATTATCATATTTTATTGCGTAAAGCATCTAATTTGTTTGAAACAATATATTGTGGTCGTTAAAGAAAAACCTACGTGTGTATACAAAGCTTTCATAGAAAATAGCAAGCTATAAAATAGAAGTTGTGTATTTTTTCATGGTGCAGAGATGTGGGGTGCCAGTTAAAGCGTTGGAACATATTAAGATAGGTACTCTTTCGGTGCGTCATATTAAAATGGATGAAATTGTTTTATTGAGTCCCTACCTTTTCATTTTTTTAATTACAAACTTATTATGAATTGATTAGCCGACCCGATGTTGATCTTGCACATTCCTAATACTATCCTGAAACTCTTCGATACAGTTTCTTGTGATTGTAGCTCCATTAAATGACTGTATTACCTGATTATATTAATCAATGACTAACTAAGCAATTATAGTGATTGCTTCTCAAATAAACATTGCCGGCTCGAATAATGCATTTTTTATACTAATTAACAATGAATTTTGGGTCGCAGACTTAATTAACCGGATATGAAGTTAACACAGTGCTGTGTTTGAAGTTGTATTTTTATAAGAATATCACCGCTGGACAATTAATAAAGCAGTACATCCGTAGAACCGTTCATTGCATTTATATATAAGCGCCCTATCTACATAAAATATTTGGAAAATCTGCACACTTCTGCATAATTAGTTTCTTATGTAAATAAGTTACTTCTACAATAAACCTACAGAGGATCTTGTGCCGACAAATTCGATAATCCGACATCGCCTCGCAAAAGGTTTGTTGGATCAACGCAGGTATATTATTTTGTGTTATCGACAGGCATCGCTCGCGCTTTCTCTCCGCTACGACAGAGGCCGTACCCAATGCCCCCGTTAGTGCGTTATAAAAGTGTTCATAAATAAACACATATACTTTAGGGCTACACCTCGACGTGTTATCTGGGAGGTGTTGAATTCTAGATCGATGTTATTGCAGTATTTTATTAAAGAAGAAATTGATATTTGTAATTCGATTGAGATAGATTTTTCTAACGTTTGTCCTTTTGATCGATATTTATTTGGTTTATTATTTTTATATAAATTAATATTAATAGTCCAATTTTTTTCCAGCAGCTATTTTATTTGTTCAACTCATGTCGACAGCTATTTATTCATGGAGTATCTAATCATTAATGTTCTGAACTCTTACGGACATTTTGTGTTCGTGCTGCTATTGTTCCGATATAAATACTTTGCCCGTTGTCAATTAAAACACGATATCCCGATCCTCGTCATCACTATCCGTAAATTCTCTTCTTGCCCTGCGATTCTGTAAAAGTCCAAACCAATCTTGAATTAGTAAATAACGTTTCGTGGCATAAGTGAAGGAATAGGATAGCTGAGACACGTATAATCAATCAATATTGTTTTATATGTTATACAAAAATATGATCAATAGATTTTTTTCACTAAATACCTTGAATTTTCGGGCACATGAGTGAATTCTAATTCGGGTTCGATTTTTTACAGAATCTACATTCCCTCTATCTATGTAAAGAATCTCTATTCCGCATATTCTTATCCGTGATACAGGGTTGCTCCCAAGCTGTATTTGCAGTCTTCCACCAATGCGCTCTAACGTGATGGTTTACTGAGAGTTCTCGCTGCATTATTCCATGCATAGAGAAAGATATTTAAATCTTATTTTGACGACCTCCTTGAGTTCCATTCCCGATCGGGAATATAGCAAAATTAACTTTTCAATATTGTTTCTGCTTTGGTCACATCGTTGTTTGAGATTCCCATAAGTATTTAAGTTACTTTACTCGGGATCTGGGCAATTTTTGTGATGTTGTTTAATATTTATTTAATTATATAGCTTGCGATGACCTACGGCAATAATCTGTTCTAATTTTTTTAAACCCTAATCTGGATACATCAAAGGTAATCCGTTAAACGTAATGATATCCTGAAATCTATTGTGAGTGCCCCGGTATCTTGGCTCCTCATCGCTCAGATGTGGGATCGGATCCCAAATACCTTACCCACGTGAGGGTACTCCGTACCTGTTTAACCGAGTAGGCTAACTTAGGTCCTAGGTGAAGAGATTTAATGCATAACATGCATTTCCCCTGCGTTATCAAAAAAATGTGAGGGTACCCTGTAGACTTTTAGATGGTTGATCTCCGAAGGTCCTGAAGTTTCCAGAGAACTTATCCACCCGATGTAACCGCGGAGAAGAATCCCACTATCTCAATAAATCAATTAAAGTGACTTTTATAGAAAGAATTTATAGTAAACAGCTGCTCAATATAAAGATGCCGCAGATTTATGGAAACGACGAGTGTACATATATATTTTTTT